AGCGGACTCGGGCCAGGTGGACAGTCCTCCTAACCAGTGCCCACCTGAAGGCCTCCTCAGCGAGGCAGTGAGCCTGTACAGTAAGCAAGGTCCCCTACAACAGGACCTCTTGACTGCCAATGACCTTCTCACTGCCTAGGACCAGAGTGCCCCGTCGGCGTGCAGACCTGCACCCACCCTCAGCCAGCCGCCCGTCCAACCTGCCCTCCGTGAAACACCCCAGAGTCCTCCTTAGCAGGGTGTTATTAAGGGAGCAGATTCTGCGGTGGCTTAACTGGAATAATAACTAGGCTTCAGCGGGAAATCACTGCTTTGCTTCCTTCCTTTGAACCAAGTCTGTTCCAAAGGCCTCCCTGCCTCAGGTGAGCCTCTACTGTCAGTGGTTAATGAAGCCCCAGATGAGGCCTGGGCTCCCCCTGCGGCATAGCCTTTTGCCCCATGAAGGCCCTCTCCAACCCAGCAAAGGAGACAGGGAGGACTCTTTTACCAAAGCTGAAACCCAGGGCTATACATGCAGGTGGGGGATGGGAGTGCCAAGACACGGTCTTGGCCTCTGGTTCTCCTTTTCCACTGCCTCCCCCAACCTCTCCCAAAGCAAGGTCTGCTCTGGGAAAATACCTCAGGGTCACAAGGCACTTGCTTTTAGGGGCAGAAAGTGCTCCTGAAATCTTACCTACAGAGAAGACTCTGGGAAAGAAAGTGTCCCCATTTCCTGCCATTGCCACCAGTGCACTTGCACTCCTACACCATCCCCAGCACGGAGACACACACGGCTCTCCTTCGGGTCCTCTCTTTGAGTTCCCTCAATGAGCAGCAGCCCACAGCCTCCTCCGCCCCACCGCCAACGCTTGCAAGTCCAGTGGGCGCTCCCTCCAGGATACAGTGAGAATCCACCCACATTTCCCCTATCTCTACTGCTACCATACTGGTCCAAGCCAGTCTCATCTCTTGCGGGACTCATTCATCTTCCAACTTCCGCTATGGCTCCCTCATAATCCAAGATCCACACAGCAGCCACAATGATCTTCAAAAAGCATAAATCAGATCATGTCATGCCCTATTTAAAATCTTTCAAAGGTTTCCTGCTGCTCAAAGGGCAAAACTCAAGCTTCTGACCATAAGACCCTACGTGATCTTACCCCTGCCTACCACATACTGACCACCGCCCCCATCCCCACCACTTCCCAGCCAAACTGGCCTCCTTTCATTTCCCGAAACAAACCAAACAGTCCATGAGTCAAGACCTGTGCACAGGTGTGCTCTCTGCCTGGAATGGTCTACGCAGCCTAGGCACGTCTGACTTTTCATCCTTCAAGTTTCGGCTTAAACGTCACAGAGGTCTATGCCAGCTGCCTTATCTACAGAAAGCCCACCACCCAATCAGTCAGCTTCTTCAGAGCACCCATCACAATTTGTGTTTGTTGAGCTACTTGTTGAATGTCCTTCTCCTTGGGAATATACGTTCCACGAGAGTAAAAAGTGCAACTGTTTGGATCCCTGCTGGCGCCCCAGCACATAACAGGGACTTGGTACACATGGAGTGCCGAGTGTGTTCTTGTCGCCTCCCTCTAGAAGTGTGGGACCACACAGCCCAGCTGGCCTGCTCGCAGCTTGCGGGAGCAAACACCCCGGCCCAAGATTTCATCCCGTTTGCATAGCCCGCCTTCCCTGTCTTAACCTCACACATTTTCCAGGAGGCTGTATTTGGTTGGGCTCCTGGCTAACGATCAATGTCAACTCAGTAATAGGGCAGCAATTTGGTGGTAGATGTTTTCTTGGCAACACTAGCCATTGGTCTTAGTGGGGGCCTCGGGTCTGGACTTGAAACACCAATGCCCAATGCCAGCCCCCTTTTAAAGACCTCTCCACAAATAAACTCAAATAAACACCCTGGGCCTCCATTAACGCCCTTCCAGCTGACCCTGGAAACAGTGGGCCTTTCAGGCCTGCTACTGCAGCAGCTCCCTAGGCAGTTAAAACACCCCAACCTGGCCTCTGGCCTCTCCTCTCTGGGGGCCACCAGGCCTACCCAGCCTGCCACCATTCGCAGCAGGATTTCGTCTTCCTCCTTAAAAAAAGGGGGGTGGGGAGGCTTTCAAGCAGGCAATTTACCATTCCAGACACAATCTTCCGAAGAGAAACAAAAACTCTCCCTGTCTGAGGCAGACCACTAAGGCGTGTATGTAATAAGATGCTAATACAATTTAATCATATTTCGGCTGGAAAACCTGTCCTCAGAGCCTGCTTGTGTCGGGAAGGCCAGACATTCAGAAAACAAGAGCTGCACACTCTTAAACCATTTTAAACGGGGGTCAGAGCCCCACTCTTTCCTATCTCTCATTAACTTTGATGCCTTCTCAGGGACAGTAACTGCCATGACAAAAATGATTTGGTACACACAGATGCTCAAACTTACTTCTCCAATCACGGGGGAGCCTAACCCTCCTCCAACACCCATCATTGCCCACCTGCAATTCCAAGTGTCCCAGGGGGCACCCAGCTCCCCTAGAACACACTGTCCACACCCACCCTCCAGACCCAGTTCTGGGGACATACCAAGGGGATCCTGGGAGACAGAAAGGGGCTTTGTCTACTTTGTCCTTCAGCACCTTCGCACCCTACCCTCCACCTCAGAGAGGGCAAAGCTCAGTCCACTCGCTCCCATGGATGGCTGCCCATTGGCAACTGCAGGGTCCTTCTGATCCCTTCTTCAGAGAAGGGAGCTGGCTCTCTGGCCTAGCCTAAAGGGGAGAGATCAAAGGTCAGCTGCATTTGGGTCCTATCCAGGTCATTCATAATAACAGTAAGAATGGCTAATACTAATCAAGTGCTTACCACATGCCTGGCTTTGTGCATAGTCTTCTTTGTGCAATATATCGCTTAATCCACACACCCACCATGAGGCAGGTACTGTTATTAACCCCAATTGCAGATGAAGAAACTGAGGCACTGAGCAATTAAAACAGCTGGTGACTGCAAAGCTAGCATTCAAACCTAGACTGTCTGGCTCCAAATAGCGCACCTTGCCCCCCTCCCCCCCCAGGGGGTACAGTGTACAGGGCACAGACCTACAACTCCCAGGTATGGCTGGGGTATTCCAGATTCCTATAGGTTTTCTGAGAATCTTCCTGGGTTCCTCATCTTTTTTTTTTGGTTTTTTGCCGTACGCGGGCCTCTCACTGTTGTGGCCTCTCCCGTTGCGGAGCCCAGGCTCCGGACGCGCAGCCTCAGCGGCCATGGCTCACGGGCCTAGCTGCTCCGCTGCATGTGGGATCTTCCCGGACCGGGTCACGAACCCGTGTCCCCTGCATCGGCAGGCGGACTCTCAACCACTGCGCCACCAAGGAAGCCCCTGGGTTCCTCATCTTTGAGACACATAGTGAGGGTCCTATGTGGAGGACAGGGCAAGCAAGGGGTACCCCCCTCCTCATAACTCTGACTTGGCCTCCCCTTGGAGAACCTAAAGGGAAAACTGTGAGGCCCACGAAGAGCCTGCTGGATGAGCTGTTAAGAATTTGGACTGGAAGCCTCTGACTTGGGTCTTGGGTATAAGACAAGTACCTCCCTGTTAACTGGAACACTGATTAACCAAAATACCTTGCCCCCAACCTTGAGGATGTGGAAATCAGTGTCAAAAGCCTAATCTCATGATTCTGGAAGGACTTGGGGGCTGGGGACCAGCAGTCCCACCTCACCTGTCAACGAAAGCTAAGTGGAGATTTCTGACAGCCTCTTGGATCAGTGTTATTGGCTGTTTAGCCAGGCAATTTAGGGAAAGGAAAAGCCTGTTGGATGGGAAATGTTCTGGACGCATTTGCTGCATCCCGAGCCCAAACAACTCTATCCTTAAACACTTCAACTCCAAAAGTGCTGGGGAGACCCTTGGCTAAACAATTTCAAAACCAACATTCACTGCAAGTCTTGCTGCCTGGGGTGAGGACTTCCCTCGGTGAGGCATTTGCTGTGGAACCAAATGCTTTTCCACTCTAAACAACAGCCAACAGTACTTGGGACAACTGAGAGGCCTCCAGATCAAACAAACATCCCTTTTTTCCCCTACCATGCAAACTTTCTCAATAAATTATTCGCCCACTTCGGATCAAAGACTGTTTTTGCAGCCTGTGACCTAAAAAGCAAATAGCATCTCTTAAACATAAAAGCCCTCCTCCCTGCCTGGGTCGGCTTTATTACTCATTCCTTCCTCTTACAGTTACTCTGTTGTTATTTTCCTTCCCTTCTTGTTAGATCACTTTGCGAGTCCCAACCCGCCTGAGGAAGATGGGATGGGAGGGATGGTGCCTTCACTTGGGGCCCTAAGGTGGGAGAAGAAGTCAGGGTAGGGGACAAGCCAGCACCCTGGGAACCCAGGAGACAGGGCCAGGCCTGGTTGGCAGCTCCCTGCCCAGCTCTTCTGCCAAATGTCCTACTGGGAATTTTACCAGTGAAGGGAGGGAGTTAATGCCACCCTGGCAGGAGGGGCCAGGCAGCCCTACCACCACCCAGACCCAGGACTCAGTTTGCAAACATAAGTTAAAGGGACATCCTCACAGCTTGTCTGGACTCAAAGCTCAGGGCTCCTCCCCCTTGCAACAAAGGCAAGGTGGCAGGTCAGTCGTGCCCACTCAGCTCCTCAGCTCGGAGTGCAAACATGACGCCTCCTGATGACACCCTACAAACTCAGACCCTATATGAAACTTTGTGTCTTGGAATCCCGCGGTAGGTGGGGGCGGTGGGGGTGGGGGTGGGGTAAAGGAGTGGGAGAGAATGTTAAGCGCGGGGCAAGGTTTGGGAGTCTGCAGAGACCAGAGGCGCCGGATCCTTCCTGCCCTTGGCACCGAGAAAAGGGAAACACAGCCCTTCCCGTTCCCAGTAGCCCAGGGCAGGAGATCTGCGTTCAAGGTGCTAAGGAAAAATGTCCCGGCCGGCAGCAAAGGTTAAGGGGATTGGGAGGGGGTGGCGCGCGCCTCCAGCCTGCCCCTAAAGGCAGTCCGGGGGACAGCAGGCTGGAGGCGCGCCGGCGTGATTCTGACCGCGGGAGCCGGGAGGAGGAGCCGGAGGTGGCTGCGGGGGGCTCCGGCCCAGTCGAAGGAAGGGCAAGAAGCGGTTCGGGCCGGGGGTGGCGCCGGGAGGTGGCCTTGGCCCCCGGGGCTGGAGAAAGGGCTTAGGCGTAGCGGGTGAGGGCGGCCGAGCCCCTTGGGGGGTGGCAGCTGTATGTGTGGGGATGGTGTGTGTGTAGGGAGGGTGGGTGTCCTGGGCCTCTAGAAGCTATAGCGAAGGCTTCCTGCTTGTCTCGCAGACATTCCCCTTTTCTGACATTAAAGCTACGAGTCATCAAGCTGACCCCCTCTCATCCCTTGGCCTGAAGAAGAGGGTGTCTCAGGGCCCAGGGATAAGCGGGAATGGACCGGAGGGAGCCACAAGTCTGCACCCAGGCGGGGAGGAGGCGGGCAGGAGCGGCTCCGCAGGCGCAGGCGAGTGGGTGGGAAGGAGGGAGGGAGAGAGGGGAGAGGGAGGAAGGAGGTGAGGCCGGGAAGATGCCTCTGCCGGGGGCGGGGCGGGGCCGGGGATCCGGGAGAGGGACTGCAGCGGTGCTTGGTGGGGGCGGGGGCTGCAATGTCACTCATGTGGGAGTCAGGTGTGTAAGTCCCAGGCTCGGGCCGCCGCTTGCCTACATCTTCCCGGTACTACCCAGGGCTCAGGGGTGGAGGCGGACGGCAGGGGACTGCAGAACCGTCCCCAGAGCGGGACGCGAACCGGCAGACTTGGAAGAAGGTAAACAAGGGCCACGCCCCCTGCCGTCGCCCCGCGGGCGCGCACCCGCCGCTCCGGCCGCCGCCGGTACATTTCCACTCCCAGCGCTTCTCCCCCGCTGGACTCCCGCGCAGCCCTGGAGGGGGGGCTGCCCCCGACCCCCAGCCCGCGCCCCCCGCGCTGGGGCTGCGCACCCTCCATACTCACCTGGAAAGGGTATCCCCCGCCCCTCCAAAAAACTGTGCTTAATTTGTGCAGAGCCTCCGCGTCCGGGAGCTGAGCATGCTGCCCCCGCGTGCAGAGCCCGCGTGCACCCAGCCCGGAGAGGGGGCGACAGGGCGGAGGCGGTGGCCCCCGGAAGGTGTCTGGGACCGGACCGGCTGCACGTGAGCCCAGCGCAGGGTCATGTGCACCGGCTCAGCCCGGTTCGGCGCCCGGACGTGCTGCGTATCAACAAAATAAACTCGGGGAGACAGGAGGGCAGATAGCCCCGGGTCCTCCGAACCCACGTCCCTGGCCGCGCGACCTCCTCTCCGCACAGGTCTCCCGCCGCAGCCCCTCCGCCCTGCCAGAGCCCGCGGGGCAAGTTGCAGCCCCGGCGCGCCCCCGCCCGCCCGCGCCCCCTCCCCGGCCCGGGGGCGCTTTGCCGCAGTCATTAATAAAGAAGGTCGCCAAGCTCACCCTTCCAAAAGTTGTTGTTGCATGCGCCCCTCTCAGCCTCCCCGCAATGTACTCTTTAAAACACGACTGACCAACATGCGCAATCTCTCTCCCCTGTGCTGTGCATCGGCACCCCCCCCCCCCCCCCCGCGCCGGCCTCCTAGAACAAGCAGCCAGCAGGAGAGAGAGGGAGCGAGCGAGCAAGAGAGAGAGAGAGAGAGCGCGAGGGAGCGAGGAGCGCTGGAGATCTGTTGCAAAAACACAAAATAACGCCGTGGAGATGCGCAGGGCCAGTCGCCGGGGGCTGGATCTTACCTTGCTCCGCGGTGCCCTTCCGAGGGCCGCTACCCCCGGCTACGCGCCGCGGCTGGGGCCGGCGTGGGAAGGATGCTCCTGAAACCCGGAGCTCCTGGGGCCGGCGCGGGCGGGCGGGGGGCGCGCATCCATCCGGGGTCGTGGCGAGGGAGGCGGCCGGGCCCGTGGGGTCCCCGGCACCGCACCCGGCCGGGGACTGTCAGCCCGCCAGACCTAAGCCCTTGCCGCTAGGAGTGGGTGCAAAGTAACTCCATGGACGCTTCTAACCGCCCCCCCCCCCCAAATAGCCTCCAACTGCGATGGCCGCGGTCGGCACCATTCACCAACCCCCCTGTGTATGTTTCTGTTTCTTTTTAAACCAAGACTTCCTTGTGATCTCTTTAGAAAAAAAAAAATGTGTTGGGGTGGGGGTGGGGTGGGGGCGGGCGGGAGGAGCGAGGGAGGGGGAGTAGCCACTTTTTTCTTATTCACTCGGATTTCCACTCCTGACACCCCCCGCCTCGCCCCTCCACCCCCCCGCCCAGTTGTTTGGCTTCAGCTGCGGGTTCAGGTAGCGTTGCAGGCCTCCGGGGGGAGGGTACCCTGCCGGACCGCCCTCTTGCCTGCACCTCGGGCCTGGACTCCCCACGGGCTCTGGGGCGCCCCCAGCCCGCCCTGTCCCCAGGGCCGGGCCCAAGCGGCGGCTGCGCCCGTGCAAGTCCCATCAGGTCTGCTCACACTTCACACACTCACACACATACCCCGCCCCTCCACTCTCTCACTCACACTTTCTGCTCACACCCCGCCCCCTTCGCGCCCCAGACCCGGGCGGCGCCCCCCGCAACCTTAAAAAAAAAAAAAAAAGCAAGCTTATACTTAAAAAAATCTTTTGGCGCCATATTAATGACGTACTTAAAATTTGCCATTTCTCCCTGCGTCAAAAAGACGTTTCTTTGCAAATAACAGCCTGAAGGCGACACTCGCGGAGGGAACGAGGTTTGCACTGAGCACCCCGCCTCCCGGGGTTCCAGCGCTGGAAGACCCTCGCTCTAGGCCCTGATCCTGAATCGCTGGTTTTAAAATGCGAAACGAATAAATCGCGTGGCGTTTCGCAGCGCCAGAAGTGAGCAGAAAGTGCTGGCAGGAGCGGAGGGGAGGGGCGCGCGCGAGTCTGGGGGAGGGGGCGCGGCTCTCCTCCCCCACCCACAGCAGATGGAAACTAACATGCCGGGCGGGGGAAACTTGAAATTGTGGGCGACCTCAAGAAGGAGGGGCGGTCCGTAGAGAGGGTCCCTCTCGGGTTCGTCGCCCCCTCCCCCCGCCCGAGTGCCTCCTGGCGCCCAGCTCTGCCCCGCATTTCCGGGGGGTAGGGAACGCAGTGATGGGTGGGTGGGTGGCTGCACGTCCTGGGCCCGGTAGGAGTTTGCCCCGGGGTGGCCACCTCCCCCTTGCTCGTCCTTCCCAGTCCCCCTAAAGGGTTAAAAACCAAGGGGCAACTTCCAAGGATTGGCACTTGGCGAGGAAGCGGGGCGCCCCTCTCCCCACCCTTCGCCTCCTCGCCCCTCCTCCTCCGGCTCCACTTCCCGACTTGACCTTGTGGTGCACAAACAGTGCGCTGGGATCCTCGCAGTTTCTGGAAGAAGAGCTTGCGCTCGCCAGGCAGGCGGGCTGTCGGGCGGCTCTCGGGCGGTGGCGGGGCCTTGGGTCCGTTCCCGGAGCCGCGGGCCACACCCACCCAACCCGCTGCGCCCGCCGTGCTCACCTTCTCTCGAGGAAGGAGTAGGGCTGGCCTTCTGGATGGGGAGAAGTGCGGGGCAAGCTGCAGCCTTCTCAGATGCTCCCAGCTAGGGAGGGGGTGGTCTGGTCTCAGGCGGGGTTTGGGGGGGGAGACCTGGGAGCCTGGCCCAATATCCTCAAAGCATCATTGCCAACTTTTTCTTCCCCCTCCTTTTTGGCTGCCCCTCAAAGATGATCCAATAATTTCTTCACCTCACCTTTGGCTTTGAAGGCACGTGGGTGAGCTGTGAACTGGGACAGAAACCACCTTCCCTCTCCAAGACTGAAGTTTGTTTATTCTTTCTTTCCCCTCCACCCCTTCTGTGGAAAGATAAATATTCAATTTACATAAGATGACATTTATGTGACAATTAAGATTCCCCGGTGGAATGTTGTGAACACATTTCCTTATAGGAGAAATAAATCTAATAATAAACAAACTCATAATAACAGCACAAATCCTCTGACAGGGCGGATTGTCTACACAACAGAGGGAGATGATGGATGCTGAAATAAGCACTTTTGCAACAGGAAAGAAATACGAGCTCAAAGAGAGTCACTGTAACATTTCCTTGGCCTTCATTCACAAAGTCTGGGGAGGCTTGTCTGGCAAGACTGAGGGTCTAGGTATCTCCCAATTAGACCTGTTCTAGCATTTAGTGGTCGGTTGGTAGGATTTTCCCAACCTCAAGCTCAGTGCCTAGAAACAGATGTTGCAGGTTGTGAGCAGGTAACAAAATGGTTAAATACCTGGGCTCTAATCCTGGCTCTGCAGTTCAGAGGCTGCTTCATGTAGGCAAGTGAATTCATCTCTGGGTCTCTTTTTCCTCCTTCGTAGAATGGGGTAGTTGGAGGCTTCCTGAGGCCCTGTGTGTGTGTATGTGTGTGTGTGTGTGTGTGTGTGTATACACACACACACATATACACACTATATGTGTACAGCAGGGCCTGGCTCAGAGTACGCAGTGCACATTAGCACTTTTTCCTGGTGCCTACATTTTGGAAGGGTGTGAATACACTCCCTGAAAGCTCTTAGCACTGAGAAACTGAGGGACATACACAAGATCTCCCAGTGTGGGCAAAAGGGAAGGCCAGGAGAAAAAACTGTAAATGATTGTGGCCTCCATGGTCAAGATCCAGATGGTAGCCACACATATGAGGTGAGAGTGGAGGTACCAATTTACAGTGGCCCAGTTCAAGGGGACTGCTCTTGTTGGGTCTAGTTGCAGAGGGTTTACATGCAGGAGAGGACTGGACAGGCTCCTCCTCTTAGCCATCAGGATCCCATGGCAAGCAGTTATAAAATGACCTAGAGGAGGAAGAGGGAGTGGATGACCATCTATAGGGCACCTGCTCTGTGCTGTGGACTGTTAGTCATCCCATTTCATCCTCACAAAAACCATGCTACCTATTCAGAAAGGTTTAGCAACTTACCAACAGTCACACAGCTAGCGAGTGGTGACAGAACTGGCACCTAGTCCAGCAGACCCCAGGACCTATGTGTTTTCCGTTTTACCACACTGCCAGAAATAAAAAGTATTAGTATTGTTGGTTTGATCAGGGATGGGAGCCTGATCGCTATATTGGCAAGAAAGAATTTTATGAGCAGCACTTTGTTTCTGAGGTGCTCCCCTGAGTTTGGGTACGATCCAGATCACCTAAAGAGTCCTTGGAAGACACTTCTTGTTTAGGATTGGGCGCTCCATCAGAATCCTTGACTTCCCACAGCTCTCTGCTACTGTTTAAGGTTAACCTTGGAAATGTAAATAGAATGATAGCATTAAAGCTAATTATAACTCCTTAATCCTTCTTAAAAATTTCACAAATCATTCATTAACTTTTTACAGAAAAAAAAAAAAAAGAGAAGAAACATGGTGTCCTTGGAGATGTAATCATTCATCGTTTTCAACAAATATTTATTGAGTGCCTTCTGTATTCCAGGCATCGTTCTGGGTGCTAGGAACACAGCACAAACATGACAGACAAAAATGCGTATTCTCATGCAACTCACTTTCTAGTTAAAGGAAATACACGATTTTTTAAAAAGTTAAAAAAATATTATATTTGAAGGTGAGTAAGTGCTGTGGAGAAAATTTAAGTAGAAAGGGGGATAGGGAATGTGAGGATGCAATTTAAATAGAGTCCTCAGGGAAGAGCTGGCTGAGAAGGTGGCTTTTGAGTAAAAGGAGGTGAAGGAATGAACTGTGAGAGTTTATGGAGGAAGAGCATTCTAAGCTAGGGATTCTTAACCTGGAGTCATAGACACCTCCCTCCAGAGGTCTGAGTATAGAATTCAGGGGGTCTCAACCTTAGACAGGAAACAAAAACTATATTTTAATTTTCACTAGTTAAAATTTGGCGTGTTCTTTGATTATGAATGCAGACAGCAAATCACAGTGATATTAGCAGCACCCGTGACATTGTTGCCAGTAGAAATCACAGATATTTTCATATCACATTATAGTTGTTGCAAATATCATGACACTCATCACTACTTCAAACTTAGGCTGCTAGCTCTTGTAGTTTAATGAATTAATAAGACACACATGCATTACTATATTACACATTTTAAAAATATTTTGAGAGTTGTATTTCAGTATAGTTGGTCTTCTTTATAATTTATGAAGCTTATTTTATGGATTTAA